GGATGATCTTGAGATGGACATTGTTCTTCGGATGTCGGAGCAGCTTCTAGAGGCTATCAGCTTGATTCATGAAGCCGGTATGGGACATGGCGGTACTTCACCCACAAAGACTATGCCACTACGCTACTATACTGACACAGACAGATATAAGCGGCGGAAACATCGCATTTAGCTGTACTCATCTCTCGCACGCCACGAAAGAAGAGCTCTTCGCAGTTCTCGGATCTCCAGAAGTGGAAGAACTAGCTCGACTCGACGGCAAACCACTAGACAACAGCTTACCAAAACAACTAGTAAAATCCGCAGATTGGGAAACATGGGTAGATGAAGATGAAGAAGATATTCGGATTCTCGATTTCGGGGAAGCGTTCCTGCAGGGGAACGAGCCTAAAGTACTTGCTCAGCCAGGGCAATTGCGGGTCCCTGAACTGATTTTCACCGATCACTTTGACTACCGTGTTGATTTATGGCGCGCAGGCTGTATGGTAAGTACAATGCCCCTGTTCATTTGCAAGTTATATAAGTCTGACTATGAATGAGATCCATGCATTCATGTTTGGGTCATATCCATTCTACTATCTAGGCGAAGATGAAGTCCTGGTCTTACAGATGATCGGTTTTGTGGAGGAGTTGCCGAAGGACTGGCAGCCGATATGGGAACAGATGAAACTGAACTTCAAGCGTGACTTAGGCCGGTTAGAAGGTGAGTAAAATGCTATTCTCTTTGTACCTGAAACACGTATGTTTGCTAAGTGAATCGAAAGACGACCGGGTATCTGAATTAGACAGAAGGCTCAGTAGAAGGGAGCCGGACCCGATACTTACTCGTCTTGTTTCGGTCATTCGTAAATTGATGAGATTTGTACCGTCGAGTCGAATAGAGGCCTCCGAGGCACTCACTCTCTTGAGGTCAGAGCAGGATGCAGATTATGGTACTTGAACATATACATTTTCTCTACATTGAATTAGTCGATAGAAGGACACACTTGAGCAATGAAATCAATCAATTATGAAAACATTCGTTCTCCATGTCCATCGAAGATCTCGCAAATGGACATCATGATTTCGACCTAAACCCTTTAAATTCAGCTAGACCTTTCACTGGTGTTGCAGCCGGCGAAAGTGGCAGACTTGCCTTCCATTTTCCGACATTATCAATCGGAACAGTGGTGGGGGACACTGAACGCTTATGTCCCTTGACTGCTACAGCATCCTGGTTTTCCCTTAACGCTGAAGCGTCAACACTTTCTTCACCAGCAGCACTGTATCCTGCAGCAGCAGAATCTTCAGTAGATGTCCGCGCAACAAGATGTATTGATAGTTTCGCCCGAGTTGAAGAAGATGGATGGATGTACTGGTCAAAGAACTCGAGTATGTCTTTCTTCGTGAGTGGTTCAATGTGCTCCACCTCTTGATATACTGGAGTTTTATTCGACCCAGTTAGTCAATTTACAGGGCAATTGTTGAATGAGTCTGATAGTAGCAAACATACCCTGCTCAAAGTCAAGCACCTCACTCAAGATATGAGTCCAAAAACGCGAGGTTTCCTGGTCCAAGTTCTTCAATTTCTCCAGGAGTCTGTTGATCAATCCAATCTTATGCTCTTCAAATATCTCGTCGGTCATCGCGCGCAACTCATGCACAAAGTTTTCCAAAAACGCATCACAGCGCTCTTTGAGGTACTTACATTCCCTCTCGCTCTGCACGAGAATGCGCCAGGTACCGGTAGTCACGTAGACTCCTATGGCCGAATTTACGATATATCCGAGCTGCTCTTTTGTGCGTAGCGTGCTGAAGCATGGTTCTGCGGCAATCTGGGAGAAAAGTAGCAACTTGGCTCGCTGCGAACGGTCCGAGACAGAGCCGACTGAGATGATATACTCGAGACAATGGTTGATGTTATCCGGGTTTTTCAGTACCCGCTCGTATAGGTAGTTTGCTCCGCTTGGTAGCGTAATCGTGCGGCGTGGCGGCCACTGGCTTTTGGGAAATTGACGTGGGCGGAGTGTTGACTCCACAAGTTTTGTTATACCCAGTGCATCTTCTTTATATAGGTTGCCATGAACGAGAATCTCGATGTGCATTTGTCGCAGAAGTTGCGGAATGTATGCACGTATATCCTCAGCTGTCACTGCTGGAAGCTCCTCGAGTAGTTGAGACGGAGCCCAGGATCTTTCGTTGATCAACAGGCGCGAGAAGGTATTGATTTGTCGATATGGCTCCATGTAGTCAAAATTCTTATGTGCTTTCCACACCCTCTCCTTCGCCACATCGAATTGCTCTTGTTTAAATTCCAGATGTTTTACTGCCAGTAATACCTTCTCCAAAAGCACTGACATCTTGTCATTGAAACCCTTCAGCTCTATATTTAGTCCCTGTGCGTTTTCTGATATACCGTAGCTCAAACCGGCCTTGTCCGCATTATAGGCATATTTATCGAGGCTATCCTCGACCAAATCAACGTATAAACGCGTCATAACAGAATACATCGGTGTTAATGAGACCATTGGGGACCGAAGAAGGATCTTTATATTGGCTTTGGGCACCCAGAACTGGTCATCCTTTTTGAACCACACACGGACATGGTCGTCATGACGGATTAGCGTAGGCTGGCGAGCTGGTTCTGCGACATCCTTTCGTTCAACCTCTAATCGTTGAGGAATGAAATCGTTCAAAGCTGGTAAGTGAAGCATAGAGGGTCTCTCTGTAGTTGATGCCTGAGCAATTGTCCAAAGCTCTTGTATGAAATCCATGGGAATCTTTTCGAGCTTGTATTCGGTCCCATACCATTTTTCCTTTTCGTTCCAATCGCCCGGAAACTGTTGATCGACAAGAAAGAATCGAAAATTATCAGGGCGTAGGTGCGATAGACCACGCTGGATATTTTCCGGATCAAAGTTGCGAATGAGAGGATAGCTGAGTAACTGCTCGCGTGGTATACAAGTGTTCTGCATGAGCTGAGCTAGACCGCTGACAGTTCGGGATGGAGGGCCTTTCTGCTTGAATTTGAACTCCACCTCAGCTAGGCGGCTTATTTCATCCGAGATCCAGGCAGACGGTGAGTTCTCTTTTAGCATAGAAATATATTGGAAGATGATCTTCAAGACCTCCCGGTGTTGACGAACGCCTTTCTCTGTAAGCCTCACGTCAATACAGAAAAGTGCTGAACCAGGACACAGAGCAGAAGCCCCAGCCGACAAAGAGTCCGCAAGACCCAGCTCCTTCAGATAAGCAAGAGCACTACCAGGACCTCCATGGCTAATTAGATGCTCCAGATATAGACTGGGATGGGAGTCGACGAGTTCTTCTTCATCGGGGTAGGTGAAATCAATGTTTAACTGTCTTTGCTCTGTCACTGGTTTAACAAATATTTGTGTCGTGAGCTCGGATTCAGTCAAGACTGGTATACCGTCCCACCTCAAACGGTGCAGATTCTTATTCGGTACTTTAGAGAAGAGCTCCTGAACCCAGCCCTCTAACTCCTGCAGTGGTTCTTTACCCAGAACGACAAGCTTCATACGGTTCGCCGAATAGTGAGTGTCGTAAAACTCGATGAAGCGCTTCCGAATATCGACGCCTCGCGATAGCGGCTCTTTATACAAGCACTGATAATCGCCGGTAGCAAACTTATGAATGGGATGCTTTTCATTCGAAGTGGTGCGGCCCAGTTGTTCAAGGCGCCAAGTGTCGCTTTGGAGATTCTTCTTGTTTTCTGAATCCACAGCGCGCAGTTCGCGATCTAGGGTATCGGCGAGAAAGAGTGGTTGGATAAAGAACTGCGAGAAGCGATCGAGAGCGCCATAGAGAGGTGACACATTCTTGGAAATTGAAACATTAGGCCCCTTTTTGTTTGCGGATGACCCCGAACTATTAGATGTTGAACTTGCAGATAGTTCGAAATAGTAATTGGTCGATGTCGAGGCCGTATAGGCGTTGCAGGAGCCACCATACTTGGCCAGATAAGTGCTATATTCGGTCTCTTCTGGATACTAGACAGGAATGTTAGTATTGGCCTCCAAGCAGCTCTGCATATCGGCTGCTCACCTTTTCCGTTCCCATAAAACACAAATGCTCCACGGCGTGCGCGGTCCCTGGCAGATCATCCGGGTCGCTGAAGCTACCAACATTGACATCCATAGCAGCGGCAGCTTTGTCAGTGTCTGGATCGTGTATCAAAAGGGCTTCTAGTTGATTGGTTAATTTAATCACTCGGTATGAGCGATTGTCCAACAGCGGTTTTTCCATTCTGTCCGAAATGAGCTCAACAGAGTCGAAACGAAGCGCTTCTCCTATGTCTTCCGTCTTCGAACTGTACGTGATAGCTCTCTTGTGATCAAAGATACGCGAATTTAATGCGCTGTGACTGGAAATTGGAGCTGCAGCAGTCTGAACTATGCTAACCGAGACGGAGATCCGCTGATGTATCTGAGGGACAGTGAAATTCGCGAGTTGAGCGGTTCCATCGACAACTGATTCCGATCCTATAGAGAGGATATGACAATCGAGGTGAGTAGAGAGACTGGTCGAATGTTGCGTGCAAGGGCGACAGAGTTGAAGAAAAGAAACTATACAGATCAGCAGTCTGGCGCGCACAAGACCAAGCCACTAATGCCACGCCATGCAATGAAACCCGTGCAGGCTTGACTCCACGTAACCTGTGTATTGTAACCCCGCTTGTCCACTTGCATATTCTTTCAATTATCATTCGGAACAGCCCGACAATTCCTTAGGAATAGCGCGGATGGCACGGCACAGCAAGAATGCCGAATGAGATGGCCTGGTGCAGGGATTCTAACTTTAGGGGACTAAGAAGATCTAGACTGCATCCAGCAGTATGTCCTTTGGTCATGCTGGACCATTTTTGGGCTCCCTATCGGATCGCCTAATATGCATTCGGACGCGATTCTATGTTGGAGAAATAAGTACCGCGGGTGGGAAGCTTCCAGTCGCAGTCGCCGCTCAGATTAGCCCTGGATTCTTCATATTATTCTCCCCAAGACATGCTTGCCGTGGTCGTCGGCTTCACTTTCATCGTATCATGGATTGTTGCTTCATTCCATCGCAACCACAATTCCTGCTTGAAAGACATCCCTAATGCTCATTTCTCCGCTCCCTATTCACGCCTGTGGTTGCTGTCGCTCCGATGGCGGAATCTGGAGAATCGAACTCGAATCCAACTCCATCGTCGCCTTGGTCCAGTCATTCGGATTGGACCCCGTGATGTGAGCGTTAATTGCATCGATGACGGTGTTCGCACAATCTATAGCAGCAAGTTCGACAAAGATGAGTCTTTCTACCATGAATTGTTCGACCAGTAAGTCCTGATGCATTCGCAACTCGCAGATTGAATGATACAAGTCGATGTCTAACCGAATCCAGGGTTGGCTACATGGTCACCATGACAGGCAACGACGAGCACAGGGAGCGCAAACGTATGCTTTCTCGCCCTTACTCCAATTCGTACATTCTCAACTCTCAAACCCTCGGCAGTGTCCTCTCCCGTGTTTCGAGTCACCTCAGAGAGAAAATGACAGAGTGGGCAAGCACTGATACCTCTGTCGATGTCTATCAGCACGCAAAATGCTGCACACTTGACGTTGCCTCAGGGTGGCTCTTTGGCAGCGAGAACGCGACCGATACTCTACGCGACCCAGAATTTGAGAACGACCTTACAACGTTGGCCGCAGCGGCGTCGAAGATAGTTTCTGTGCGGACCACCCTCTACTGGCCGTTTTCCTACCTTGCAAGCTTGATCAGCAACAGGCTGCCCAATCCCGATGCCACTGTTCGATGGCAAGCGTGGCTCACACGAGCGATCACAGATGCCTACAGGAGGCATCCCACCAAGCCTAATTCCACCGCGAGCCTGTATGACAGTTTCTATGATGCTTTCAAAGCCGCCAACCCCAAGATGCCGCGTAACGAAATGGCTTCTTACATCGCTGTTGAGTGCGATGATCATCTTTCGGCAAGCCATCTCGGCCTGGGAACGTTACTGGCATATACCATGTACGAGCTATCACGACATCCAGACTGCCAGCGGGCGCTCCGGAAAGAGCTCTTCAGTCTAGCCGTACCTAACGATCAGAGCATGGCTCATCGCCTTGCAGATCTACCAGTGCTTGATGCTGTCGTTACTGAGACCATGCGGACCCGTGCACCCTGTCCTGGCCCGTTTCCTCGTGTCGTGCCGGACTCTGGCTGCCGGCTCGCGGGGAAATTCGATGTCCCCGGCGGCACCATCGTCAGCTCCTCTGCCTGGGCCCTTCACTTCAACCCAATTCCTTTTCCGTCCCCGGAGAAATGGCACCCGGGTAGATGGATCGAAGCAGACGACGACACGGTCGCGGAGATGCGGAAGTGGGTTTGGACCTTTGGAAGCGGCGCGCGAGTATGCATTGGCACTCATTTCTCCATGCGTGGTATGTCCCACTTCTCCTCGATCGAAGAACGTGCTGACAATGTAATTATATCAAGTCATAAAAGAGCTGCTTGCAACAGTCTATACGGATTACGAGACTTACCTGGATGATGGATTCACAGGAAATGTGGAACAGGTGGATGCCTTTTCCGCGGGTCCTATTGCAGGTTGTCTACAGCTGAAAATCCGACGGCTCACATAGTTGACGCCATTGGAACACTTAGAAATTAGCTGTCAACCTTTAGAAGTTGCTTATAGAAGTAGCTGTCTGCTTGAGTGTAATTGGCGCCCGCACAGCAGTGGCGCTGACGTGAGGATAATGGTTTACGCTTACAACATTCGAAAGGAGTAATTATTTTGCGAGCAAAGACATGACAAAGTAGTCCCTCAATACTGCAGAGTCTTCCACTCAACATTTTCTTCACATTGTCAAACGCACCTGCTATTGATGATCGACAATGTAAGTCTTTTGATCGTCCAGCCATCCCGAGCTGGTGTTCCGGTGAGGAATTGCTATCACGCAGGAGTCTATACACAAATCCACAGCACAATATGGAGAAACATGTGACCACAGTCCAGAGATAAGAGCTCTAGAACGTTGCGCCCCTCAAATTTGCGACCTAAACAAAAGAAAAATTACATCATGGGTTCCATATTTGGGATCCGGTAGGTTTCAATCCAGCAATGAACACACACGCGTGTGCGTAAGAAACCCCTTCCTGCACCGTCTTCTCGACCAAAGCCAGACGCTAAACTCAATAAAACCTATCATACGTCATATGCTGTGGGTTGATTGTAACATACCGCGTAGATACTCCCTGTAATAGGTACTGAAGTGGAAGGATGCTATCAGGTTATGACCCTGGTTGAGAATCCTTCCGTCGGTGGGCCGTCGGAGTCCCAACCCCCCTTTCCTCCGGACCTATCTGTCCAGATTGAATTTGGAAGTGAGAAGTGAGAGGTGGAGATGTTGCATTGGAGTGTCAGAAAGTACTACAGATTAACAAAGGATCAGTTTCTCTTGGGCGTTACTGGTCCCTGTCAGCAATTAGAGTGGAGACAACGGAGGGGGTTTACCCGGTCTGTTTCCACTATGTACTGTACATGTGTCTAGACTCATATGCGGTTATGTCCATGTCCAGCTGCATATTTATATTTTGTACTGATAAACGCTATGACGGAATCAAAGCCGTTGTGATGTGCCCCCGATTTGTAATGGCGGGCGATATTATCGTTTACTGTGGCTCCATATGGGAATGAGGTGTTGAATATCTACTGTCTCAAGGTAATCTTTATTTTTAGATGTTCTCTCTGTGCTCATCTTATACTAAGTATGATAATAATGGTCGCTCAAAGAAGTTCGAGATTTAAGCAAACGAAGTCGCAGAACTGAAGTCGCAGATGGATATATCCTGGGTCCTCAGCGGAGAAAGAGGCCCAGAGGAAACGAGAGGAAAAGTAGTAAAATGGTAGTATTGCCTTAGAGCATGCTTTCTCAACAATCATTTACGAGGAAGAAATCTCATCAAATTCTTCGTATCTATCTCTTAGCGAGCTATTCTCTACGAACCGAAAGCTAATCCAACTTATCGCACAGATATTGTATTGTCCTCCCAACCAAAAGGAAAGCTAGCTAGTATTTGTATAGAACAAAGGAATGACACATCGGTCCGGCCAGCCCTTTCTCCCTAGCATCCTTCCTTCCTCCATTCCCAAATAAGACGAAACAGCTTAGTGCTTCTCCTCCACATTGGCAATGTTGGATCTGGCAGAGTTGAACTGAGCACGGAGCAAGTTGAGCTTCAAGGGCTCTTCTTCTTCGGCCTTGTCGGCGTTTTCAGCAGCGGCGGGCACCTCGGGCTTGAACAGGTTCTGGACTTCCTGCATCGCCTTCCAGGGCTGGGCTCTCTCCTGGGGCGCGGTAGAGGTGGATTGAGGCTGGAGGGTTATTAGTTAGGTACGTTCTATATGGTTGCAGACCAAGTTCTTCTTACCATCTCGAAGGGTGCTTGTTTGAGAAGTGTGATTTGATAAAGTCTGAAATTGTTCTTGTCTGAGGTCGATGATATATGTGAATGTTGGGTGATGATCAGAGGGATTTATATAGCATTTGAGGCAGGTGTATCCCAATTGAATCCATGATCGACTCTGTTATCCCCAGCCATACATATCTCTGCTTGTGCGCGAAGCCCATGAAAGCACGCGAGTATGCATGAATCCTAATGCGGAGGCAGTGATCCATTCTACTCTGCTGATAAGCCATACAGTGTGTGATGAAGCTATCTACGGAGTTTGATCGTCTAGATCTCCCCTCCCCTCGGGTCTCAACCCCGTCCGAGCGCTTGCTTGGAGCCGTGCCCTGAAAGTCCATTACTTCCGGATGATTCGTTCAATCGTCTATGCATGCTTCATCAAGCGTGTTTCAATTGCTCGTATAATCTGCCGTATGTAGCATACCATAGCCTTCTCCACATGGTGATTGGCCTTGCACAAATGCCTCACTTTATTGCGGACTACAGAGCTGATTATCCAGAAGGATCAAACTATCCAAATCCCTCGAAGCTGTGCAGTACACTACGATCCTTGATATCTGCACCTACGAGATGGCATCATTGCATAGCAACTAAGATGAGGGAAGTTGTCGATAGCCATGCCCAACAATCCTAGGAAGGTTAGTGTCGTTTCCACACAATACCTCTTCAATCTCGCGAAACCTACATATGTTGATGCTTGATAGTTACCAACTCCGGATAAGCACTTGGCATCCGCAAGACAAGCACTCCAAGACATATGCCAAGCATCCTCGGCTGGACCAACATCTCCGCACGCCAAGGTTGTGGCGCAACTGATCTGCATTGACCCTGACGACTTGTGTTACCCATTAGATGGATATGGAGGGTACCGAGAAGCTGTTGTTACACATAGGTGAAAATTGATCGGCGTAAGCGTACAAATTCCATTTGATAGTGCTTCCAAGCAAAAGAAACCATTATCAGGTGTATGTACGAACTGCAATCTGTCCCAAAGGGCCTCGCGTCGCTAACCGGCTCTAGATAGCAAGATAAGAGTATCATCTATCTACGACGTGAATGATGCGCTGGCTAAAACTACGTCGAGTGAGATATAGTGCAGACTATGACATCCGGAGACTGAATGCCACCTGAATCGTATTCGGAACGAATTAGACAAAGCTGCATTGGCTAGCAGCATTGCGCAATGCATCATCCCAATTCATACCGATCAAACATTTCGAAGGATGAAGGATGCAATCTCGGTCTTCAATTTTTTGGCACGGCTAGCGCGCTTGTACATGGTGCTCCTTAGGCAAGAATACTCAAGTATGATCTGTAATCGACGCTTACATCTCCGAGGAGCATCCCACCTAGATACAACTCGGAAGATACGACTGAAACGCCCGATATCTACAGAGTATATGAACGATATTCCAATCTAGCGCGACACGTCTGGGTTACAGCGCATTGATGTGCAGCTACAGCAAAGCCACCCTCAAGTCCTCATGAAAAGGAAGTCGATACACATGCAGACCACCTGCGTGGGTCATACCACCTAGATAGTGATAGATAGGCTTTCGGCCCGCTGCGGATTAGGGTGGGCCGTCTCATGTTGTAGAAAGTACGTATCTCCACTTCGGTCAGCTATGCGAGGAGATAAGCGCCTACTTAGCCAGTTACATGATTGACATGGGGAGCCTAGTTAAGCATGGCGCAAAACGTACTTGATATGAGGCTATGGATACTACAGTAGATCTAGAACCGCCTCACTTGTTTGTCGTATTGCAGATGAGGGATTTGATTTTCGAGACAACGGCATGGATGGTATCCTGTTTGAAGTGTGGATCATCTTACTTTGGCCCCCGAGTACGTACTATAGCCGGTGGGTCATAGCCCTGATTCGCAAGAAACTGCGGGGTAGGGGACTGATTTGCCCCGGTCTGAGTTCAGGATGCATTCCTTCATCTCGGTGATGTGTCGTCTTGTCTTGCATTTCAATACGGAACCGTAAGGTCGTGCCCCGAATTCGAAAAGCAGTTGGCAATCGGGTGTTGCGGCAGACGGACTACCAACAATCGCACCCGCTGTCTGTCGTTGGATACTGGGCCTCAACCCCCAGAGAACACTCGAGCGGGAGCACTGCCATCGAAGCAAGATGCCCATCCCAGGAGGAATCAACGCATCCACAACGGCCACTGCCACCTCCATCAATACAGATGAAGACACAGTCCAAGCAAAGATCCAATACCTCGCCAAAGACGAGCAACACCAACATGTGAAACCCTACTACCTGCACTTCCAGTACGACTCCGACATTGCCCCAACAAACACTGCCGCAGATGACCGTATAGTTCCAATTCATAATGCGAGGAATCTTGACATTCCCTCAAAGGAGATGTTCTCGGAGTACGGATTTACTCAATTGCAGCTTGATTGTCCTTTGGCCCCGGAGGAGTACTACTATGACAAGAAAGTGGAAGAAACTCTATATCCTCAATACAAGTCGCTTGCGCGGGAACTATTCCCGGATGCTGCGCGGGTTGAAGTATTAGAACATGCTGTAAGTGAAGCAAGAGACCTGAAGCAATTCAAATAGGCTGATGGACCGGAGAAAGACTCGCAAACGGCACCCTCTTTGGCTGTCTGAGGGTATAGAGCGGCATGAGCTTGATACCAATCAACCGAGTGATTATGTGCATATTGGTATGCCCTAACCTATCATACATATAACAAATACTGACCGTTTTGATCCATGAATGAAGATATGACGGCCTCTTCAGCAGCAAAATGCAGCATCAAGCAGTTCAATATCCACCCGGAGACTTATTCCAGATTCATTGTTGTAAAGTAATATCCATCCCAGCTCTTCCCATCGAAATTGCATTCAAAAGAGCACTGGAGCTTACACTTGGTGTCTTCCAGCCTATGGAAACCAATCCGCGGCCCAGTATACGATTTCCCAATCACGGTCTGCGATCGCCGTACAGTAGACTACGCATCTCAGACCACTGCTATGGATATCGTGGCCCGGGACTACGTCAATGAGAATACTCGAATATACTACGACGAGAACCACGAATGGTATTACTGGCATGGGTTGCAGGCTGATGAGGTAATCGCCTTTGTGCAGGCGGATTCTCGGGTTGAAAACAGTGCAGGTATGATCTCTCCCTGTCATTATACACTAATACGGAGTTGTTGCTGTATATGATATTGATACTGCGTATGTAGGAGTTCCTCATACGGCTTTCAAGGATCCTCGGAATAGTGACAGTACGCAGTTGCGGGAGAGTATTGAGGCGAGGGTATTTGTTTATTTCGATTAACTACTTTCAATATTATATCTGATGAGTGAGAATGGAGTATATATAATAAGTACTATGGACAAACAAGCATCAATCAATTCTACCACTAATGTATTTACCGACCCTCCCTCCCAAACCGCTCCTTACTTCTAAACCAATCCCCATATATCATCAGCGCCCCCAACGGCGGAATAAAAGCCGCCGCAATAAAGGCCAGCACTGTATTCCCCCACCCCTGACCAATACTATCATACAAAGCTGGTCCAATCAAAGGCAAAAATGCACCCGCGATAGCTCTGAATATAACCCCAGCAGCGATAGCAGAAGCGCCATGGATCTCATACGTATCCACAACATAAGTCTCAGCCGGAATGGCAGAAAGTGTCATGCTGAAGCCAGCCAGGCACGCTCCGATAAGCGGCACGATAAACTGGACATGATAATTCAACGTCCATCCGTAGATGATGAATCCCACAGGGAGGATAACAGCAGCGAGAAGCAGATGTACTAGACGTGACTCGGGCTTGAAAGCGTCGCCTTTTGTTTCTTTTTGATGGATGACGTAGCGGTCGGAGGTAAAGCTGTAGAAGATCAAAGCGACGGTGTTGCCGATTGCCAGACTGAGGAATGTGAGCCCGATGGAGCCGCTGGTGAAGGTGTGGGGATAGGTCGATTCCATGGATTCTGTGAGAGTGGCCATGATCAATGACACCAGAGCGTAGGTCGTAGACATGTATGTCGTTGTCATGATAAGTATGGGAGATCGGAAGAGGATCTGCATTGGCTTGATAGCGCTCTCAAGCATAGTAGATGCATCGATCCGAGCTTGATGCTTAGACTGGTACTTCAGGTTGATGTTGTCGTCTACGCCCGCATGCTCACTCTGTAGCCGCTCCGCCTTTCTCCTCAGCAGAACAACCGTGTACGTTTCTCTCAGCACAAAAAGCAAAAGCAAGCTAAAGAAACCCAGAACAATAGCCGCTAGCCAAATGGACCATCGCCAACCCAGGTCCTCAGCGATATACGCGCCCGCGATGGGGGAAATGAAATCGGCGATCATTTGAGTACCCATGACTATTGCCATGGACCGGCCAGTCTGTTCCATCTTAAATAGGTCCCCGACAATAGCCGGGCCCAGGGTGAGAATGGATAGGAAGCATCCCGTTAGGAACCGGAAGGCAATCAGCATGGAGATGTTGGTGCTGAGCGCGCTAGCAACTAAGCAGAGCAGCGCGAGGAAATTCCCTATATGGAAGACTGGGAGCCGCCCGAATCTTTCGGAGAGCGGCGCGATAAAGAATGGGCCGATTCCTTCGCCGAGTTCCCAGATGGTGACGAGGAGAGTCTGGTCGACTTTGCTGTGTGAATGGAATTCATCGAGGATTTCGGGTGCCGTAGGTACGATTGTCATTGTTGAGAAGACACTAGATCATTCTGGTCAATTCAATGGAAATAGTAGTAGACTGGCGAGAAATAGATAAGATCTCACCTAACGAAACCCATCCATGAAACAACAATCACAATCAGCCATTTGTGCACCGGCGACCAATTCAACGGGTTTTCGGGATCGTTCTCGTCAAAGTCTACGAGAATGACATCTGGATCGCTATCTTCGCTGGCATCGGTATTTTCCAGTGGCCGTTCGTCGGCAATCTTCTCCTTCTCATTGTCCACTGCAGT